GCCACCCTTTGTTATATCAAACTGATCCGTTAGCACTCGAGGTACATGCTGAGGATTACTCTCGCCTACTGCCTCACCAAACGTGAGCTCAATAAGTTATAATAAGACTCATGCTCGTGCTGCTGTTCCACGTAATGTTTTTATGCCATTAGTGCTTAGTGTATTATTTAGCTGATGTTTTTCTTAGTTCATATCTTTGATCTTATCACTGTTTTTCTTTTACATTTTATTGTTGGATGTAACTGGGACCCTGTGCACATAATCTCGTTCCACCACATGTACCACATGAGATGCGAATGACAAATCTCTCTGACTCTGATCATTTTTGTGTCAGTAAGCTGTAGCGGCCATTTTGAATTGGGCTGACAACAAAGGTTAATCAGTTGTACATGTACACCCACTCAATGGAGCAGCACCCTTTTCTAAAGTGGAGGTGCAAGCTTGTGTTCCCCCAAAAATATGTTATCTCTCCCAGTAGAAACAAAATAGTAAAGTTTTTTGTTTTTTATGTTTTAAACCTGTGCTGCATATTTTTCTTGCCTTGACTACAACAGAACATTGAGTGATGTCGTACTAGTTCAGATCAGGCGATAAGATGGACGCAGCGCCATGAAACCTATTTAAATGATCTAATCTTCCAGATTAAACCGAATTTTTGTAATATCGCTCCGTCTCGTTCTCTTCCCAGCTGTCTCGGTACAATCTGACAGGTTTATCTGATTGTTCTTGTTGCCAGCAACGTCGTAAAACGACCTGCAATTTTCAAAAGTAATAGAACTCTGCTTTATTTATTGTGATTATCTCTATGATGAACCTGCATCCAGGACATTCAGAACCGGCAGATGTTGATGAAACTGCTCTGTAAAGAAAATATTACATATTTTTAATAGCACCAGATGGTTTGAGTTCTGGAGTCCTGTTGATGCCTCGCAATACTTGGGCCCTGATTTCAGTAATATCATCAAAACACTTCACGAAACGTAACGCAGTGAAGCTTTTTTTTTTTTTTTTTATCTTAAAGCCGCATCTTTCTTTTTACTGCCATCTGCCATTTTATTTTATTTTTTCCGAGCCCACTCACAAGGAAAGCTGAAGTGGTACCACTTTTAAAAACCCTACTCTGTTGTTTCAAATATCATTATTTAGGATTTAGTGTACCATAGAAAAAAAGCTAAACCAACAATATACCATATACAAAATTACAACAATAACTAGAAAAGCTAAGCCATTTAACAATGGTTGAGATGAATAAAATATATGCATTAAACACAGCAGAAACAAATATTTTGTTAAAATTAAATCGGGGCAGGTGAAACAACACAGAGTCCTAAGCAAACATTCTGTAAACAAGAAGAGAAATATTCTAATTTTTCTTATATCTTTATCTAATCAGGTTCACAGGTGGTTGATACATATCCCAGCATGCAGTGGGCAGCAAACAACCCAAAATATCACAGAGCCAACACCCACACATACACACAATTACACCCCAGCTATAACTCAAATCTGTGGCTCACAGGGAGGAGAGTCCTTACACTGAGCTGAAGGAATTTATTGATATTCATTTACTGATATTTATTAAGCTCCTGCTGAGCAACTAACAGAATAATTGACAAAAATCAAGACAAGAACTGCTCGTTTGAATCTCACAAGTCTACGGCTGATGTGGTCTGTGAATGATGTCACCAACCCTTCCTCTAATGAGTTCGACTGGCTGAAGGCTTTTCAGTCTGCAGCTGAGAAAAATCAGAGGCCACAAACTACAATGACGGCAAATGAGTTCCTAAAGCCCACAGCATTGTCTTAGGCCTATTTTATTTATTCAAGACGTTTGAAGTCCTCTTAATGTCACCAATGTGTCTTTTAAATGACACAAGAGAACATGCCCCTCTAAAATGAGAGCTTTCGCGTCGCTTTTTATATTTTAGGTCAATTTAGCAATGGTTAGTTTAATTAAAACCTCAATTAGGAAAACCGATTGATCATCCTGAGAATTTTATTAAAATCAGTCCAATTCTTGATGGACAAATACTGCACAGTGTTCTGGGGACTACACTCAGCTAAAGCAAATGTTAACCTCACATGTAAACACACGGGCTGAATTACTGCACAGACATGTTTGTGTTTTTAGGGTTAGCTTTAAAAGCTTATCAGTTTTAAATGTACATCCAGTGATTAATTCCTTAAAGTTTCATCTGAAGCCCTCCAAGTGGTTCGTGACATACTTGGCCAACACAGACACATAGCAATGATAAGCATGCAAAACATTATCACCCGCCTTCACCTCTTCTGCAGTAATAAACCGTAGAGTACACTTGTCCAAACGATATATACGAGATGCTTTTATATAAATCCAGCTCACGGTGCCAGTTTTGTCCGATCCAAGTTATTATAAAGATGCAGGACTCCCCTCATCAACCCCTGCCCAATCATATGCAAATGAGCCCAGGTGTGCGTTTCATTAAATCTGAACCTGCTCACTTTATGCTGCCGGCTGGTTTCTTACCTGTTTTTCCAGCATGATCATTCTCTCAGTATCATGACCTTCATGGAGTGAGTGTCCATGCGAGTCCAAAATTAAGCACACTCCATTTCTGTCAGCATCTTCACGGATGAACAAGGGGAAAGAAAAAACAACTTAAAATGAAGGTTAAAAAAAGATGCTCCCGGCTAACTAGCTTTACCGTTAGGAAGCTAGTTAATCGCTATGCTTTATCCTGGAAAAAAATGACTCCCGCATGTTTTGACATCAATAAAAAAAAGGAATTAAGGAGTGTTTTTTATCGTTAAAAAAAAAAAAAAACATGACATCGGTGAGTGCACGGGAAGGAGAAAACACATCGAGCTGAAGGCTAGTTAGCGTGCTAGCATTAGCCGTCCAAACGCAGAGAAAATCAAAATTTTATTTGTCTCCTCGTGCCCTCATCCATTGTCGCTCCGCTCCCTTCTAGACAAGCTCGAAAAACAAAATCTCCGAGAAGGCGTCCTTAGGCATGGGCTCTCCCCGACAAATCCCCCCCGCTGCTGGACATCTTATTAGGGAGCAGAGAATCCGTGGAGAAAGGCGATGTGGGGATCCAACCACTGTGACACTTAAATGGATGCTGCTGCTAGCGGAGAGGAATCTCCGCTTTCAGCAAGACGCTGTTGCTGCTGCTGCGGTCCGAGGAGTCGTTGGGAAAAACGATGCTCTTGAACGCACCGCGACCTGAGTGAACTGCAGCGCTGAAACAGATTCCAGATCAGTTTTAATCCGTCAATCTGTCCATCCATTATCTTTGACCCGCTTCTTCCTTTTTGGGTCGCGGGGGTCACTCAATCAGTTTCAGGAAATTAAATAGTTTTTACTATTTGAAACATATTAATTAGGCAAAACAACAAATCAAGGCAAAAATATAAAGTTGAACTATCATTGTGTCTTATTGTGGCTGTTGAAGAGTTGGTTTGGGTCATTTCTGGAACGACCCTGCACTAATATTCAAGTTAACTATGTTTGTGATGTTGGCATTGTTTTATCGTGAAATTTGCTTATTTTCATTGTGTTGTTTAATTTTCATTGTTGTTTTCTTTTGATTTTGTACATTTTTCAGTTTACTTATATGGCTTCCATGTTTACTACTGTTAATAAACTGCATGTTTTCTGTTGTGGTTTTTCACTTCTGTGTAATTATTTTGTAGATTTTTATGTACTTTTTCACATTTTATATTTTATCTACTTGTGTCACTTCATATGTCTTGCTTCTCCGTAATTTCACATATTTCTTTTTTATTTTACTGTTCATGCAGGCTTTATAAATTTTTGTCTATTTGTTATATCTGCGGTGGAAGTGGTCTCCAGCTACAAGTACTTAGGTGTGCACCTGAATGACAACCTCAGCTGGAGCAACAACACCACCAGCCTGATCAAGAAAGATCATCAGAGACTCTACTTCCTCAGGCGGCTGAGACGAGCTGCTCTGGGAAGCTCAGTCCTCACCTCCTTCTACAGGTGTGCAGTGGAGAGCATCCTGTGCTCCAGCATCAACGTGTGGCATGGAGGCTGCACAGCTGCAGAAAGAAAAGCTTTGCAGAGAGTGGTGAAGGCTGCACAGAAGATGTTGGAGTCAGCCTCCCCACCATCACAGACATCTACACCTCCAGATGCAGGAAGAGGGCCACCTGCATCATGAAGGACCCCACTCACCAAGCACACACAATTTTTGCCCCGCTCCCCTCAGGAAGGAGGTTGAGAAGCATTAAGTGTAGAACCACTAGACTGAGGAACAGCTTCTACCCTGAGGCTGTTACACTCCTGAATATCTAACCAGAATAATCACTGTGAAAAAAAAATCACATCATGTTGCTGCTGATCTGTTTCATGCTGTCGTGTTCATTCGTGCTCATCTGCTCACACAGACTCATGTCCATGCTGCTGTTCGGCATATTGTTTTTATACAGCTGTGTATTTTTAGTTAACGTTTTTCTCTCAGTTCATATCTTGGAGCGTATTACTGTTTTGCTTTTACATTTTATACTTTTGTTGGCTATAACTGGGATCCTGTGTACACATTCTGTTCCACCACATGTACCACGTATGACAAATAAAGAACCTTGAATCCTTGAATACATCTCCTTAAATACATTCAGTGTAATCTGAAATGTAGTTTTACACCTTTTCAGTTAGTTGCACTACTTTTTGAATGTAATTATTGATTTGTTTTGTAGGGGCAGTTTAAAAAAAATATGTTTATGGTGTTTTGATTGTCATTTTCTGTCATGTAGAACTTGTTTAACGGTTGTTTTTTGTTACGTTTACATGACTCCTTGTTCTTAAATGTCTCTGAGTTCACATTGTGATCGTAAAACGAAGTAAAACAATCTCTTTAAACTCGGTTCAGTTATTCTTCCAAACGTGTGAACTGTCGTTGCTTCTGTTGGTCCCTGAAGGCAGCGCTGAGCCTGTCAGACTGCACTCAGGGAGCAAAACCCTTTTATCGCGGTGCATTGTGGGGCTGGCTCTACGTAGAATCAAGATGGCAGCCGCCTGTGTCAGATCACTTTGTAAGGTCGGCCAGTCTTTTCTGGAGGCTCCATCCGTCTGTCGGTCCCGTACCGTCTCTCGTCTGCTGGGTAATGTCAGCGGACATGGGTCCAGAAGTGCTTACGGTACCAGCGGTCCGGGGTTCCGGTCCAAACTCATTTCTTCTGTGCGGGCAGGAGGAGGCAGGGCGCTGGGCTGCGCCTTTCTGCTCGGCGGAGGTTTAGGTTTATACCAAGCCTCGAAGCTCTCCGTGGAGCAGCACCTGGCTGAGGAGGACAGAGATGTGAGTCCGGAACCGATGGTCCAGGACCCGGTTTTGGTCCTGGTGTCACCTGACTGGGGGGTATCCTGTTAACTAGCTGAGTTACAAACGTTTTCCAAATAAAGCATCGTGTTTATTGTGTTTTTTTACACAGTGTCTAAATGTAGTACTGTGCAAAAGTTTCAATCTTGGTTTGTTTTTAATCAACAAACCAATTAATCGACTTTTAAGTGGCCAATTGGGGCCAAAATCTGTAATCTGTTGAGAACCAACCAGACCAACCTGCTTATCTAACCTATGAATCATTCAAAATAAATAAATAAAGCTCCTTAACTCAAGGGATGAACTTGAGTTGGGTCTGCACATTACAGATAATCCAAAAAAAATCCGTTTTAAATAGGCTCTAAACATTTGTTACTGCCTGTCACTAAGACATCTGTTCCAGTTTATTTAATTCAGTCTATTAACATAAACAAAAATAAAATCATTTGACACGAGGAATTTTTACCACACCAACAAGTTAATTGTTAAACAGCTATAAACGAAGTGTGATGTGCAGTATCTCTTAAAATAAACAGAAAAGTTGAAAGGTGGGGAAGAAGAGATGTTCGAACGTGGACACAGAAAAGTTTTGTTACATTTTGATCAGTCTAATAACTGGAAAGTGTCTGACTGGGAACTACTTGGTGTTTTATTTCAACTATGATCCCAAACACGCTGCCAACATAGGTTACCCCATGTTGACATATTCAGTTTTCCATAGAAGTGTTCACATCTTACTGCGTGTATTATTTTAAGATGTTATGGAAGACACTGACACATGTTAAAAGTCTCACCTGTCAAGATTCAGCTTTTCCTTCGCTGCCTTATTGCAGGTTTCAGGACAAGGTTTAAAGCTGACCATGTACCAGTACAAAACATGCCCGTTCTGCAGCAAAGTGCGAGCGTTTTTGGACTACCACGGGCTGCCGTATGAGATTGTGGAGGTGAATCCGGTGATGAGGCAGGAAATCAAGTGGTCATCGTACAGAAAAGTCCCCATCCTGATGGTGGGGGAAGAGCTGGTAAGAACTTACCTCTGAATTTTGGAAGTATTTTTTTTATGTACCAGTCTCACATACAGGAGATAACAGTCTTGATGTTTTGTTTAATTGTGGCTCCAGTTTATGTCAAAGTGATGTTAGTGTTCTGGGTGCATGCAGTGAAACTTTCAATGTTTTTTACTTTTTGTGTTTATTTGCAGCAACTCAACGACTCGTCCGTCATCATCAGCGCCCTCAGGACCTTTATGATCAGCAAGTAAGATGACGTTTCCTTAAAATGCTGTTTTATAAGACATTAACATGTAATAGGTTTCTTTAATCTTTATGTATGGAGTACGTCATGGTAAAATTGAGTACAACTCATTTATTTCAAATATAAACCAATTCCAAAAAAAGTTGGGACTTGGTGTGAAATGTAAACAAAACTGAATGTAATGATTTGGAAATGTCATAAGTCCATGTTGGATTCATAACGGAACATGGTAAACATTTCAGATGTTCCAAACTTTCTGTGATCCAGGGGGAAAAACATGCCCGACATCATTCGCTGCTACCCAGAGCTGAAATATGTGAATGAAAAGGGCAAGGAGGTGACGGAGTACAGCAACAAGTACTGGCTGATGCTGAGCGAGGGTGAAAACAATGTGATTTACCCTGAGAAGGGAATGCAGAAGTAAGTAAAGGGTTAAAGCAGTACGGCAGTCCATCGCTACTTCGCGGTTCATTTATCGCAGATTTTCAAAGTAAGACTGGTCACGACACAATTGGCTGATTGATGGACAGCTTGCCCAACACGACAGAGAACCACTTTAAAGTTGAGCCATATCTACCAAGGTAATGTTGAAGACGAGAGAACAGCAGGTCCACTGTGTCAAAAACAGCTGTACGGTCCAGCAGCACCACAGCAGCTCAATGTCATTATGGACTTTTAGCAGGGCTGATTCAGTACTATGACGAAATCTAAAACGAGACTGAAATTATTAAAAACTGCCATGTTTTTCCAAGACGGGCTGTAAATGCATAAAACACCTTTTCCCGAAACCTTAACTATAATCAATACTGAATGAGTCAGTTTGATTTGAAGGAGCTTCAAGAAAAAAAAATGTGGTGGACTTTAAATTTAAACAATCGCTGCGACTTGGATAACAGACCGTACACCAACATGATACTGGCTTGTAGAGAAACTTACCGTGTTCTGTTTTCAGAGAGGAGATGAAGTGGCGTCAGTGGGCTGATGATTGGCTTGTGCACCTAATATCTCCAAATGTGTATCGAACCACCGGTGAGGCCTTGGCCTCCTTTGATTACATCGTACGTGAGGGGAAGTTTGGTACCGTGGAAGCCTTCTTTGCCAAATACGTAGGAGCTGCAGCTATGTACGTCATCTCAAAAAGACTGAAAAGCCGGTGAGTTAAATGTTTTCTGCCTATAATCTCGTTGTTTGGACACGAACGGTTGATTTTTCTTCTTTGACCCAACAGACACAACCTGCAGGACGACGTCAGGCAGGATCTCTACAAGGCCGTCAACGACTGGGTGGCAGCTATTGGCAAGAACAGGAAGTTCATGGGTGGCGATCAGCCCAACCTGGCAGACCTGGTGAGGAACCACTCTGCTACCTTTAGCTTCAGTTTTACGGATGAAAACTGAGCCACGTACATTATTTACGTCATTGTTCATCCACAGGCTGTGTTCGGAGTCCTCAGAGTGATGGAAGGCCTTCAGGCATTTGACGACATGATGAAGAACACCAAAGTTAAATACTGGTACACGCGAATGGAGAGAGCAACACTCAACCACGAGGGTGGATCACAAAGCCCTTCCAGTCTCTGAACCTCTAACGGACAGCGACCGAAACTGTAACAAACAGAACCAGAAGGTCTGAGAAGGATCACCGCCAGTCTGACTGACTTCCAGATGAGTTAAAATGCGTCACCGTGTAGTGACAGCTGCATTGTGGGAAAACTTTCAAATCCGTTTATCAGGTTGGCTGATTTTAGTGACACCTACTGGTGAAGCTTGAGAACTGCAACTACACCCATAAATCACACCAGCTTCTCTGGGTCAGTTAGTTTTCAAAGTCTACATAAATAACTACATCTATTAAATTACATAGTTTTATTTCTTAGCATAAAATATTTGTGCATTTAGAAGTAATTTGATCTTGTCCAGACTTCAAGAAGTAAAAAAAAAAAAACTTTTTTTCCCCACAATAGATGTAAAATAAACTCTGCACCTTGTAGTTATTTCTTGATAAAAGCGAGTGTAAATTTCACCATTTTTATAATTATTTATCTAATTTAAACTTTGATTCATCTTGTTCAAGGATTTAAAAAAAAAAAAAACACATTTGCTGTTTTAAATGTTTTTCCCCCTCTCAAGTACAAACGTTGAAGGTTTAAGCTTCTAACATAAAAAATAAAATGGTGGGTTGATTTTTGGCCACGTGGAGCTTTAACACAGTCTTACCGATTATAAAACTGAAACTTTTGTTGACTGTTCATTTTCTGTTTTTAAGCTCATGTTCAGAATTTCTTGTTTTGTTCGAGGTTCATTTGAAGCGCTAAGTTTGCTCCATCCAGCAGGGAATAAACGGTTCATGCAGTAGACCTTTTCTAGTTTCTGTGCTAGAACATTTAGATCAGTTTATCTGTATTTATTTCAGATGAGCCTTTCTTGTTCCCAACCGATTCAGGATCAGTTTAGCAATAAAGCTGTTCCACAGTGCAAGAACTGTCAGAACACACGTCCCGTAATATGCAATCTGTCTACTGCATATTAACTGAATTACTGTATTGAAACAACTTGTTGTGAAATAAACTTTAAAATAAAACTTGTTTTTGGTTCTACTTCAGGTAATTCCTAACGGAGTTATGAGTAACAAAGCAAGGAGGATGTTTCTGAAGCTGCTGGAAGCAAATTTTTACAAAACAAAAATCTGAAGCAGAAATATCTTGTCAGATGCAATAAATAATAAAACGTCTTGATATGTTCTAAAACTAACAAGTAGCTTAAGACGACTAAAAGACAAAAGCTATACCGAAGCAAATTTCAAATATAAATTTTTTTTTTTTAAAGAATTTAACGGACCCGTGTATTCCTATTCGGAAAACATTTCTTTTAAATATTTAGAAAATATAAGAACTACAAAAATAAAGTTGCAGCATCCGTCCTACATGAGCTAAATGTTTAGATATATAAACAGCTAAAATAACAGTATATAGGCATTAGATTGCCCAAAAAAAAAAAAAGGAAAATAAGTGATTCAGCATTTTTGATGATATGTAATTAAAAAGGAACTAAATGTTTGTATTAACTTCAGTTTGTTTATTGAACAATTGTAATTAAGCTCTTTGCATTTTTAATTTAGAGTCAAATTCATTAACGACGATTTGACGACGGTACAAATGGATTCACGAAATAAATAGCAAGCCCAAATTTACACTTGCACTTTGAAAAAAAAACATAAAAATTCAGTTGTAACAAAATATGAGCAAATATATAAAAAAAATTAAAAAATTCACTAATTTGGAGGAGTTACGCCTCGGCGCCTCATCACGTCCTCATTAAAGCTAAAAAACATCCGTAAACTTCAGAAACTGGATATTAATGACAGAACAGATGAGACGATATCTGCAAGCGTTCATTATTCATGGTGATAATGTAGTGACTTAGTGATGAAGAAACCAAAACGGACGGATTATAAAGCTTAAAAGGTGATCTGATTTTGACAATATTTATCTTGCATGTGAAAACTACAGAACCAATTGGATTTCATTAGACAAAAAAAAAAAAAGCCTGAGTATCTAATGGGAGGATCCTCATAAACAAGCCTGCAGAAAACATTCCTTTAGTTTAGGGATGTAAAATTACACCTAGCTGGAGAGTCCTCCGACGTGTCTACGTCAAGGATCAACGTTAAAAACAGAAAAGCTACTGCCTGAGAATTTCCACCATCACACCAGCAGCTGTTTCCATGCTTCTCCGTTTTATTCAGTTCTTACAGGCGCCGTGCAGAAACGCGTCCTCCTGCGTCACGACCTCCAGAACGTGGAGCTCAGCTGGCCTTTGGGCGGACTGATCTGTCGGTTCTGCAGGGACGTCTGCGTAGGGGGAAAAGGAAAAAGTTGACTTATTGGATTTTCTCATCCACTGCGCACTCGGATGACCTCAATAATTTTGTGTCTAATACTGTTCTGCATGACGGTAAATAAAATAAACGATAAACGTGCAGCTTCACTTTGAATTTGTTTGAACTCGGCCCCATGAGACAATTTATTTTCATCTGAGTTTTGTAAAAATGCTGAAACTATTTCATGTCTTTGATTCAGGCTGAAATACTTTTTATTGATTTAATACTATAACAAGTATTTATCTGCTGAAACTTCCCATAATTTCCTAATTCATCTCAGGACAATAATTCCTGTCCACCAGCAAAGGTGAAAAGGACGATAACGTTATTTTACTCGTGTCTGTACTGTTAAGAGAAATATCTCTGGAACCAGAGGGTGGATTTTTGGGAAACTAATTGTTGGCTCCGTGCCCACAGCTGATTCAAGATGGCCGCCACAGTTAAACTTTTTAGCAAACACGAGAACAGCTTTAACTTGGTCAAGTTTACAGACACTAAGCTGAAATTAGGTGTGAAAGCTGCTAAGAGTCATCTCCATCACACATTCCAAGCACCAATGTGTTGTGTAACAGCTTTAATTAAACTTTCGCCATCAACCCTGCCTGTCTGTTAGCAAAATATCTCGATTTTAATACAACTCGGAAAAACATCAGACGTGTGCCTGCAGCTGATTATAATATCTCGGTAAGGACAATATCTACTGTACAATTCAGTCAATGTTAGAAACTGAGCTAAAAATCGGTGTGGTAGTAGCTGAGAGCCATACTCAACACATACCTTAAGCAATAACAGATAAAAGATCTATATGTTAAACTTTGGTATGCAAGAAATTATAGAGTTTCTCTGTTTGAGAAAAAATAATAACATCTGCTTGATTTAAATTAGCTTTTTTTTAATCCATTGTATTTGGTGTAAAAAGTTTAGGCAACCGTTTCCTGCACTGAAGTTTTGGCCAACGTCTCTGCTGCATGAACCCCCCCAGCTCAGTTCAGAGTCCACCCACCTCCAGAAACTGCTTCAGTCTGATCACTGAGCCCATCTGTCCACTGCTGGTCACAGCTTCAATCCTGGGGAAAGTTGCACAAACCAAACTGATTTACTTCCCTCCACAACAGCTACAGGAAAATCATTTCAGCCCTCTGAGTGAACGTGCGTTAGTACCTGGGGAAATACTCGTTTCTCAGCAGCAGGATGAGCTTCCAGAACTGAACCTGGTACTGTTTCATCAGCGCGTTGCCACAAACCTGAAGGAGACGCGCAAAAAGCGTTTTCTAACAGTTTAATTACAGCCGCAACGGGAAGCTAAAAATCTAATGTGCAGATTTTTTAAAGTAAATGTAAAAAAAAAAATAAAAAAAAAAGTGAATGAAAAATCTGCGCTTAGAATCGAAGGGACAAAATCTTGACGTGCATTTTCTCAGTTTAGAGAGTTTGATTTAGGATGCCGGTTTAATCCAGATCAGCAGCTTTTTGTTTCTTTGTTGTTGTTTTTTTATACAATATACAAGTGGAATCCCACAATGCACTGCATAATAACATCACTTTCGCTTGGAGAAGGACCCCCAAAATTGTATAATTTAATATCCTTTTAAACAGATTTTTTTTTTTTTTTTACAAAATGGAGCACGTTAGTGTGTATGAGAGGTTCAGCTCAGACAGAAACTGATTTGATTTGTTTAAAGAGCAGGACTCGCCTCCAGAAAGTCGAACAGCAGCGTTGCAGTGATGTCTGCTAGAGGCTCCATGTTGAGCATCTGAGCCAGCCAGCGCCAGCCGTGGTTCAAGCCGTGAGGAGCAGACTGATCCGCAACAGGCGAGAGAAAAATCAGCATCAGTCAGTCGTGAGGTGAGCGGGATGTCAACAGGACGTGAAACCGTTTTTACCCCTTGCTTGGCGCCGTAGGGCCACCTCAGCTGGATCAGAGCGGCGTAGAGTCGGATCATCCCAGACATCCTCTTCAGAAAACTGTCCTGACCTTCGACCCCGGAGTCGTCCACGCGGTAGCCGAGAATCCTGTTGGAGGAAACACGATAGTTTTTCAAAAAGGATGGAGCTTAAAAAATTTAATTAAAAAAACAACTGCAGCGATGCATTTTTCTGAGCCACTCACTTCTGGTACTCCTCCACAGACGTGCCGTCCTTCATTGGAGGGTAGTGGGGAACTGCGTACGGACATTTCTTATGCAGGTGGGCCAGGATGAGGTCTCCCACCCGGGGGTGCAGCTCCCAAATCCCAGAGGCCACCACGGCGATGGGGAAAGCTGCCTCGTGGTGAGACGCTACCTCCTCCTCACCTTGTTTCTACGAGACAAAAAGACGAATTGAAGATCTAGAAGCAAGATTTACCTGGTCAGCTGAAACCTGCAAAGACAATGAAATTGAGTTGTTAAAGCTAAAAGAAGCAAAACCCTAGCTAAAAGCTAAAGAGAGAGGGCTAGCTAAAAGCTAAAAGTTGAAAGACACTAGCTAAAAAAGTAGAGGACTAGCTGAAAGATTAAACAAGCAAAACATTAGCTAAATACTAAAAGTAACAGAACAGGACACAGAGGTAAGTTGCAAAGCATTAGCTAAAAGTAGAAAAATGCAAACTAAAAGCTAAAAGGAACTAGCTAGAAGTAAAATGCTACTAGAAGTAAAAAGTGACCAAACCATTGCTTAAATGTAAAAGTATCCAAATACTAACTCAAAAAGTAAAAACACCAAAATGCTAGCCTAAAACCAAAAGCAGAAAAAAAGTATTTAAAAGATAAAAGTAGTAAAAGGCTTGCTAGAAAGTAAAAATAGAGCCAGTTTGTTGAAACATATTTTAAAGGATTGAAGCGATCTGAATATATTTCTATGATCATATTTGTAAATAAATGTATAAAAGTAAAACAGAAAACTAGTCATACCACCAATTTTCTGAAAGAGTTCATATTTTTTAAATAATTTTACTAATCTTTAACAGTTTTTTTTAATGCTTTATCAGTTTTATCTAGTTTTACTTACAAAAAGCACATTTGTTTTGCCTCAAAATAATAAACATGTTTTTGTTTGTGTTGTTGTTCCAACATGTTTTTAAGTCTACATTTAGGTTTTAAACTGGTCTAATCCGAACAAAGGGTTCAAAATACGGTTTGATTTTCAACCCTGCAAAGGTTAAATTTTTGATTACATGAAAACCTGAAAGTCTTAAAAGATTTGAAAAATAAAACGATCAGATGTTTTTCAATGGGAGGTCGTTAGCTCCAAGTGATGACAGCTCTTCAATGAAAATCCGCTCATTTTGAAGACCCACCACAAACTTCTCGGCCAGTTTGTAGCTGACAAACGCCAGACTTTGTGGATGCTGTGAGGTGGACACGGACTTCCCACCGGACACCACGACCCGTCCCGACAGCAGCTTGTCGATCCTGTCGAAGATTTCCCGGAGCTGCGATCCAGAGTTGGTGGAGATTTGGCTGACGGGGATGGCGGCTGCTTTCTGGAGCTCTAGCTTCAGCTTCTTTGTCTGAGCTCAGAAAAAATAATAATTAAAAGCGTCTTCACAAATATTTACGCAAGTATTGAAAACAAAGAGTGTTTCGTATTTGTTAGGATAATTTTTATTATCCTTGTAGCTCATTAAATAAATATGGCACACAGGAGAGGTAGGTCATTTTCTTTCCCCAGGTTTAATCTTGCAAGATGGAACAGAGCAGGCAAGATGTTACATGACGCTTCGTCTCCAAGTCTGTTCACCGAGAACACAACAGAGAATCTTTTTATAACGGTTATTTCAGACCCGGGGTCAGACAATTCTGCTCTCCAGCTTTGAGTTTTCTCCGCAGCACTCTGATCCAGACTAAACAACTCTTTAACAGACACACATTGGACTTCAGTAAGTGAAAAACATCTGTGACCTTTCACATCTCCACCAGCATTACTGTTAGTGCAGCTCTTATTAAACAGTTGCTGCTAAAAGAACTTTCTTTAAGAAACTAATCATGTTTTTTTGTTGTTTTTTATTTTAATAAAGCTTGGTCAGCAAACAAATCATAAAACCCACAATGATTTATAAGTAAATTAGATTTTTACGTCGAAGCTTTGTGAGCTCCCACAAAGTTTATGACATATAAATTATAAAAACGCTCCTGCTGGCTGCTAACTTCTTTGCATAAAAAAAATGGGTGGAAAATTTTACCTCAGTCATAAAACAACTCAGTCCTGACAGCTTCTAAACAATGATGAAAGTCTGTGAGTTAATGTGGTTGGGTTTGTAAAGCGTAAATCAAATGATCTGTGGCCACAGGTGTAAAACAGAGGTGCACGAACCCACCTGGGCATCCTTTGGGGAGCCGAGTTGTTCGAAGGACTGAGTGCACTGAACAGCAGAGTCTTGCAGCTTCTTGTACCACTTCATGGTGCTGACTTCAGCGTTGTTCTGCAGCCCTGTTGGAGAAGTCCTGGTGAGAAACACTTAACACCAAGAGTAATAAAAACTACAACCACTGCCTGCAATGCTGTGGCCTCCAAACCTGAGGCTATGTTTCTCAATCAGAAAGGAGTGGACTGCCCACCCCGGGTCTGGGGAGTTTTGAGCGGAGGATCTTGACCCAAGGGCAGCAGCAGGGCTAAATGTGGCACACTGTGCCCCTTCGGGCTGGCGAGGAGAGTAGAACTGCTGCTCCGATACGTTCAGATGAGCCAGTGGAGGTGGTTCAAACACCTGACGTCTCCTGGACGTCTCCATGAGTAGGTGTGTCCTTCATGAGGCATGAGCCTTGGGTCTAACCAGGAAATTGAGAGAATTATATTTCTTGGCTGGCCTGGGAACGCCTTGAGGTCCTGTCAGAGGAGCTGGGGGAAGTGACTGGAGTAAGGCTGCTACTCCCACGACCCAAACAAGCGAAAGATGACCGCAAATTAAAATTTGATGAGATTTTCTTGATCAAAAGCTGACTTTACTGTTAACTCCAGATAACCACGACGGAGAAATTAATCCGTTTTTTTTGTTTTATTGGACAAACAAGCTTTGTTTTCTTGTGATCCCAGAATGATCTTGTGTAAAAATTAGTTGCATCCAACGTGACGACTTTTTCGTTCGGCTGCTCAGGGGTCGCCACAGCGAACTAACTCGCTAACCAACTAATGTCGGACGCCCTTCCTGACGCAACCACAGACACCGAGCTACCACAGCCCTCTGTGTGGAGCGGAGAGCTGCCACCTAGGACACCCAGGGGAGCAGATGGTGGGGGTTAAGGGCCTTAGGGGGCCAGAGAGTGGCAAACAAGGGTGGAGGCAGGTGCGGTGTTTCATTGTTCCCACCCACATTTTGATGTTGATGGTTCGTGGGGTCGAACCTTCCGATCACAGGCTCGCCTTCTCTAACCTCTGCACCACCACTCCTCAATATCCATCCAATATGACTATTATAGATATTTTAACACCCCGGGCGACCTAAAGAAGTGATGTCTGTGTAACGCTCGGAGTAAACAATTACTAAAGTTAAATAAACAGAATTGGTCGATCTGGGTTTTCTTCAGTTTATGTAAACGTGGAGTTGTAACTTTTGGTTTTGTGAGAGCTTCAAGCTGTTAGTTTCTTTTCTTAATCACCTTTTTTCTGTGATTTTTCTTTGGCCGCCTGCTCTGCCTTCTTCTGCGCCTCCTGTTGCACCTGCAGCTCCTTCTGCTTCCTGCGCTCCTCCTCCTGTTGCTGCTCGTTCTTCTTCTTCTCTTGAGCCTTCACTGCCTCCTGCTGCATCTGCTGCATCAGCGCCCTCATCTCCTGGAGAGCTCGCTCAGCGATCGTCATGTCCTCCAAGCTCGGAAACTCTCCCTGAAAAGACACAAACTTTCAAGTTCAAGGACCAAGTTCTTTATTGTCATTCGCATCACATGTGGTGCATGTGGTGGAATGAAATTATGTACTCAGGGTCCCAGTTACACCCAAAATTTAGGCAGCAGCTTTACCGTTTCTGTGTAGCTGTAGCACTTTCTATAAAAAAAAAAATAAAAAAAAAAAAAGCTTCAATGCTCTAAATTAGAATTTCAACATTTAACAGAGCAACTTCAAAGATTAGATAGATTTAAAAGAAAACATACTATGGAATGAATGAACAATAATAAATAAGTGCATCTAGCTACATTAACACAATTATTCCCAATGATTGACAGATCATAGATTAGATTTTTTTAACCGTTTTAAAATGTGGGTCTACTTCCAGCAGTTCTGTTCTTTTATTTAATGTTTTTACTTGGACTTTCTCGTGTCTACAAGTCAACCGCTGCAGAATTCACACGAGCGAGCCTCTGTGAAGTTCAGTCCAGTTCCAGATTGTTTTGTCGTTTAAGTTTTACTTTTATCTTTGTCGTTTCTTCAAAGCCATCTGCGTGCTGCTTTCACACAACTAAAGAAAAGCGAGTTATGCCGAATTTGAATACAAGTACCAGTAAACTATATTTGTTCAAAGTAAAACAAATCTCAGATTTTACAGTGCAAAAAAGACTTTGTGTTTTTGTTTTTAAAAGACACTTTTTGGGTGATTTTGTGTACAACCCCTAAATGAGTCCCTCACCTACAGAACTGTTTAATGGACTGACACTGGAGAGGGAAACTTAAGAAGGTTTGTGCTACCACAACCAGAAGAAAGGAAGATGTCTGGATTAATTTGCAGAAAAACAGTCAAGTTTGATTTTAAATATGAGCCTTTTTGCAGTCTGATACAACTCAAGTGCTTTTGTGATCATTTTTAAATTATAGATGATTTTGTAGTTATCAACACTAGTTTGAAAACATCCAACTCTGTAGAAAGACAATAATTAAAGGTCTTCATGAAGCCCCATTTTTCTTCAATAATAAAAACTTATGGGCACTGGAATAAATTCAATTTTTTGGTCTAACAAATATATAATATTTGCCTTTTTTCCACCTAGTTCACAGAACTATCATGCCTTCTCAGATGTTTCTTCATCTGCGAGAACAATTAGCATTCAAACTTACCTCTGCGGTCTTTCTCACGACCTCCGACACCTGGGAGCACAGCTGGTTGCCGCGGGCACTGTACGAGTCGAGGCTGGACGCCGGCAGGTCAGAGTCGGTCTGCGTGGATGGTTCCAGCAGCTGGTTGAGCTGCAGGATCTCCTCCTGGATGCTGTTGAGGTTACGCAGCCTCTCTCTGCCCTCTGTCTGCCTCTGCTTCTCGAGCTCCGCCTCCCGGAGTCGTTGCTGCTCCGCCTCCCTCAAACGCAGGTTGAGGATCTGGTTGTAACGAGATTCCAGACATTCATCACAGAGTTTAGCGCCATATCCAAGATTAAACAAACCGTTTAAATGTTTTCCTTTATATCCAGTTTGGCACCATCATCTTTGTCTAATTAATCTGCTGATGTGACAAAACTTTGTGATAATTTCTTTGCTTTTCTTAATGTCTTAAGTGTGTTTCTGGCATCAAATTCCAAGTTTTCGCTTTAGTTCATGTTTTGTACATTAAAGAAATAAAAAAATTTAATTCGAAAATGGTTCAGAAGCATTATCACAATACAAATTCATGTGTTTATTTTTCTAAAAATGTTTTTTTTAACCTCCTGAGACCCTGCGTCCACATATGAGGACGTTACATTTTGGTTTTGATGTACCTGATACTTCACTCTGTTTAATAGTGTTTTATACTTTGTTAAGCCATGTTCATGTTGTTGTGTTACACTATAAAATAAGCCCATTGTCCCCATCTGAGGACTTTTTTTTTTTTTACAAAAGTATATCATAACCATGTAACAAAATACAACTTCCTGTTTGAAGAGGAAGCTTTATTTTTACACAAATCAGGTCCATCTAATCACAAATATCTAGGCGATATGAAAAATGCATCGCAAACCAGAGCTCGGGTCTCAGGAGGTTAAAAAAATAAAGCTTATTTTGACAAGACTTTCCATTTTCATGATTTATTTATACAGTATTAAAGAAAGCAGCAGGGTTTGAAAGTTTCCCTCAGTTTATGGCAAAATATTGCCAAACCTGATGTCACAGACATAAAAAACAAACTAGTTGCATTTGATTTAGACAGAAAATTATATATAAATACTGTTTAACACAATAGTGTCCCCTGTAATCTCCCCTAACATTAATGACAATCAAAAAGTTTCTGCAGATCATTTTGAGAAAATGTTTTTTTACGGGGAAAAAAGTAAAGATTAACAGGAAAACACTTAATCTAAATCTGCAGGAAGCGCTTTAGCTTTCCGTTCTTCCTGGTCCAGAAATTAATAACAGCAGCGGGTTACCAAGTGTTGTTGAATCATCCTACCCTTATTCTGTGTCGCTGCTCCTCCTTCAGTTTCTCTTGACGCCCCATGCTCTCTTTAGTTCTGCAGTGCAAAACAATTTGGATTTGGAAACACTTTGGATCACTCAGAAACATAAAAATCCTCAGTCTGCATGTTTTCTGCACTCACTCTCTGTCCATCATGTCCCTCATACTCTGGAACTCCTGCCTCTGCTTCAGCTCCATCAGCTCCTCGAAGCGTTTCAGCTGCTCCGACTCGGCATTCGCCACCACCACCACCAGCTTCTCCTGCATCTCCTGCCGCTGTCTGAGCGCCATCTGAGCCCAAGGTTAAACAACAGGCAGATGAGACTTTCAGAAAGAAATAATAAACAAGATCCTAGGAGTCATGAAAGTTTTTAGTTAGCTAAACCTAAACTGGTTTGTAAGAAAAGTCTTCTTAAATATAATTTCAGTGTTTGGTTTCCAAAAATGTTACATGAATACAAGCACAGCCTTTAATAATCAGACTTAGTCTTGTGTGGGTTAATGCTGATTCTACCTACAACAAAAATACTCAATTTTTCTGAGGTTAAATGAAGAATGCAATTATTGAGGAAAATGAGCTCAGCTGACTTATACTCAAATAAAAAGACAAGAATTAAAATATAATTTCTTAACATGAGCATTAAAAATGACTCCCTGAGCACATCTGAATTTATCTGACAACAAACAAATTGCACTAATAGGAACATCTGTGTCTAACCTTGGCCTTTTCTCGCTGCTCCTGCTCGAACCGGATGATACGACCAGCAGTTTCCATGGCTTTGGGCGACAGCAGGGAAATGGCAGGTGGTGATCCAGGACTGAAAACTTCCCTGACATCTGCCTCTGGACTTTCATCCTTCACTTCTTCACCAACAGCCTGCAGCACATTAAGGTCACAGAGTAAGAGCGCTCACACGCACCATCACAGACTGGAGACGTTTCTTTTATTCAATCAGTTAACATTCGGGGTGACAGTTACCTGAATGTGACCATTCCTAAAAGATAAAGGAGACAAAGATGTGGTGCGTTTGTTGCTGAGGTCACTAATGGATCCTGTGGAGGAAACTGAGGCTGGAGTCTCCTCAGAGTTGACACTGGAGTCTAGGAAGGAGGACTTTTGCAGGGACACTGAGTCGATATGCTCCAATATAACTCCAGTGTGAGACGATAAGCTAAAGATCTCTTTACAACCTGCCAAAATATGCTGAAACAACAAAGGAAGACTTCATTCATAGTGATTAAAAACAGTTTTATGTTGAAGATCAGATCAGAAAAAAAGTCCCTTCAAATACTTATTGAAATTTTTGAGATTCTTAGTTGTGGATAAAAGCAGGCAGAATTATTAACAAAAATTACATTTAATTATTTATCAATTACACTTTAGTTTTCAAAAAAACTGACAACTTAATGCTGGTACAATCATGGAATGAAGCATGTCCATCACAAAATAATGTTTTTCTTGCAACTGAGTTAATTGTTACCATAACGATAAGTCAAACGTGTTGAGGTCAGTGTTTTCAAGTCACAGCATGACTTTTTGTTATAACCCTAAAATAAATATCTCAACTATAATAATAACAATAATTTAAAAGGAAGTTGTCTATCACTAAAAGTTCAGTGCAAATAGCCAAACTTCTTTATATTCTAATGATATAGTCTTTGCAGTGACTTTTAGTTGGCTCTGTTATTTTAAGTTAATAAGTTAAGTGTTACAAGCATGCAGTAAAACAATTAACCAGAGGTAAACAAGAAGAAAAGTATCAACGCTAACGACAATAACACCGGGTCGGCTAAGCTAAGTTAGCTTAGCTAGCTCACCTCGCCCCTTTCCGACCAGCGCGGATCGAAAGTGACTTTTCCTTTGGATGAATTTTTTAACGCCTGCAAAGTTTCCCATCTTAAACTTTCAGAAGGCATCGCAGACTGAAAGAAAAAATAAAATAAATAAACAAATCTAACAGCTACCGATGAAACATTCGGAGCCGCCAAACTGTTACACTAAACACATTCCGACGGAAAACCGTCACCTTCCGGTCTGTGGTTCCACTTTAGCATAGCTTGTTGTTTGGAAATAACATTTGAAATCTTAAGCTGGAAATCTTAGACATTTTAAAGCTTGCCTTGTAAACAGTGCTGTAGTAACCAATTTAAAATATTTTAAATAAATTGACACGTGGGAATTGAATTAAATCACACATTTGTGTTAATTTGTTAAATACAGTACAAAACAACCAATTCAGAGTAGTTTGTTTATAAAGAAGAAGGTCGAACCAAATGTTATTGGGTGCCATACAGAAAAATATATACATTTTAAAACTATAATTACATATAGTCTGGATTAATGCCTCGTCCAGTTTAATTTGATGAAATAAAATTCAAATATAAAATATAAATCAAATGTTGGCTTTAAATTCAGTCAAATTATACTTCAAAACAACACAAGAAAGTAAAAACAAAAATAAACGATTAAGAAAACGTATTCAGTTGAACAAGGTTTGTTCCAATTCAGTCCCCCTTGGTTTTAGTTTTTTTCAATTCAGCACATTTCATTTATTATTTAACTCATGTTAAGACTTATTCTGTGTATTTGTGGTTTATTTTGATTAAAATTGTGTTCTGACTTTGCAGCAGTAGAACTGGACCTTTTTTGAATAAATAAAAATGTAAGGCTCCTCTCTGCACTGAATACAGGATGTCAAAACAACAAAAACTGCATGACAACCATCGCTGCAATGCAAATAAAAGTGGCAAAATAAAAACATTTAATTTAAAAGCAAATCTAATCCAATTTGAATTACTTGAAACTGATTTGAATAAAATAGTTTGGAATATGGTAAACATAGAACTATATTTCATAAATCACCATTTCACAACTTGTTTACTTATTTGAGAAAAAAGTAGCCTTTTATAATTTTAGGAAAGTTCCTGTAAGAATGAATTATTATTATTATTAATGAATTATTAGTGCCTTAATATTTGCTAAAACATCAACATTTTCAGCTAATATAATAAAAGTGTTCAAGTTTTGCTTTGAAAATTAGTTTTCAAGTTCAAAAACATGAAATATGAGAGATTTTATTAATTAAAACAATCGGTATCAATGGATGTGCAAAAGCTTTTTATCCAAAAAAGTACAAATGGAATTCAGATAATCAAAATATTAGATTTAATTTTATACAAACTTTTTTTATTCCACAGTGAACATTAAATTCTGCCGTCAAAGCGTACAGATGTAAGTTCAGATCTACTGCGATGCTTTGGCAACAGAAAAACATCAACTTGCGAGCAAAGAGTCACCGAAAACGTTTCCATAAGAGGTTTTGAGGAACTGAACGTAGTTCTGGAGGCTCCGGTTTGTAGAATCGGACTGCTCGAGTCTCTCCTTCATGTTCTGCAGCTGAGTCTGTAAACGACGCTCCGTCTGAAACAAAAACAATCTGTTTTGAGTGTTTTCTAACCAATAAATCTAACAGACATGAGCGTTACCTCGTCCTTGTTTCGCTGTAGTTGCCCCAGTTCTGTTTTGGCTCGGCTCAGTTGACTCTGCAGATCTAAAGCTTTAGACTGCGATGTTCTCTCTTTGGCCAAAACCCTCTGAATGCTGTCGTCCACCTGCAGATGGAGAAGACGGTGATATTGAGGCGTTCGCTGACCATGCTGAAGGTTTCAACTCCGCAGTTTCAGACCTGTCTCTGAGCATCGTCCAGAGTTTGCTTCAGCTGTCGAGACAGGACGCTGCACTCTCGAGTCTTCTCTTCCAGCTGCTGCTGAAGGCTGCTGACACTTCCTTCCTTCGAGGCGAGAGTCTGGGACATCTCTCTGTTTTCCATATTTACGTCCTCCAGTTTCCTACAATCAATGCACAGAGTTGCTGGAAGTTACGAGCAATCATTTTCAGTTTATTTAACCCGTGTTTATAGTCATTCAGCCGTGCTTGTTTTAGCACAGAGGCAATAAAACATCTTTTGATGTGCTTGAAATCTTCTGTACAAGGACTTAAACTGAGTAAAAGTCCATCCATGTTGGAAATCACCCACTTCTTACCGCTCCAAGATGTTCATTTTCTCCATCAGGACGTTGTTTTCCTCTTGCAGCAGCAGATTCCTCTGCTGAAGCGTTTCCAGCTGAGCGCCTTGCTGCTCTACCTGCGGAGAAGCTCAAATAATGTAAAATGTCTACAATAACAGGAACACGTGACTTCATTCTGAATTACTTCTAACAGCCACATGAATTATTATTTCCCCTCGATTTCAACACTTCTTTAGAACAGTCCTTAAGTGTGGATGAAATTTGAAGACTCTGCAGCCATCGGTGATCTGAGATTAAAGTAAAATCATGTGGAAAACCAAACATAATTCTCTTTTTACCCCTTTAAACTTCAGATATCATTTTGGTTACTTTATCCTTTCGATTAAAAAAAGGTTTTGCTGCCACCTGGTGGTTATATCTTTAATACTTCATAATACTTTATATTTAAATCTTCAAGAGTGTCAGAAGTCCATCCATCCTTTGTATTTGGCTTATTTGTGGTCAGGTTACAGAAGTGTAGTGAACTAAGCCTAAGGTCAGAATTTGACCTTAAGGACCTTATGGGACAGAACTTGTCATTTCATCGATTTGCATCCAGAAATACAGGTTGACCCATCCTGAGACTTTCTTTCTTGAATTAATCAAGTAAAAGAAGACTATTCTCTATTATCATTACTATTTTACAAATGTTTGATAATCAAATTGTGTTAGTTCAAACAATGTTTGAATGTTGAAGTGAACTACTCATTTTTTATTAACTGTGAAACAGTAATAATGATTCTTAATCCTCATTCAAAGAAGAAATCAGGTTAATGATGCATTGTCTGATTTTCTGTCTTCAGTGAGCAAGTGATGGAAGTTGGTCAAAGTTCAAGTTTCGGTCAACTGCAAGTTTACTGAAAAGAAATGTCATGTTTAACTTTTACAGCAAGATACTGGAGAAGTGACTCCACGAAGTCTGAATTCTTCATAACAATCTTTTGTCTGTTCTTAAACAATCTTAATCTTTTTCTTTGACTTTTCATAACACCTTACATCACAAAACACACCTCTGTTTTGGTCAATCGACCAATCAGAAAGTTCTCAAATGAACCGGAAGTGACCCTTCTTAAAAGGTGCAGCACTTCCTAGTTTCAGCAGTTCCAGAGTTCATGAAGGCTGGAATTCAGGATGCTGATGAGAGAAAAGAAATCAAACTGAATGAGAGAAGATCTGGGAATTATGAAACTTCTGTTTTGGATGACCTCACGACTCCAGAGGGTTAGCTGTTCTTACGGAGACGCTGAAAAGTGGCTCGAAGTGGAACTTTACGCCGGAACTGACATATCTTCAGAAAGGTAAAAGTCGATCTTCACCAAAGTGTACCGTTGGGGCAAGCTGGTCCAAAGGAGCGTGCATGTTCTGGTTAAAACAGACAAATTCCCTCACACATCTCTCTCAAGATAAACTTCATCTTTCCATCTTTAAAATTCTTCTATCTGCTAAAAATCATTACAGATATTTTTAGAAATGTCTGAAGCAAAGTTTTTCAATCACCGCTGTGTGGTTGACGTTTGTGGTTCTGCTGGAAGTGAGAAAACAATCGCCGTATTGTTTATTTCCTGTAAAACTGATTAATAAGCTGTTGTTATTTTCAATTCTTGCCAATTAATGTAAATGTGCGATGTGTTAAACTTGATTATGTTAATAAATGGCCCACTGTCGTTGGTGAGTCAAAGATAATTAACGTCTCACGTCCACATTTTATTAATTCAGATGCACGTCATTATACAGTCCAGAAAAATGAAAGAATCTGTTTTAACAGTATGAATATATATCAGTATATGTACATACTACAGAAGGAACAGGCCCAGGAGGAAAACCCAGACTTCCCTCTCCTAAGTGAGTCGCTCCAGCTCCTCCTGAGGGATCCCGAAGTGTTCCAAGGCCAGAAAGAATGCGTCATTTCTCCAAAGACGACTGGGTCTGCCCCAGGGTCTCCTTCAAACGAAACCTATCAGGAAAACTTCCAAAAGAAGACATGCAGATGCCAGAACAATATCAGCTGTCTCCTTTCAACTTGGGAGGAGCAGCAGCTCATCTCTGAGCTCCCTTCAGATGATGGAGCTCCTCACCTAAGTCTCTATCTCTCGTGATTCTCATATCTTGATCATAGGTGAGGGGTGGACCTTAGATGGACCAGTAACGTGAGAGCTTTTCATTTTGGCTGAACTCCTTCTTCTCCATCTTGAGACAGGAGCGACTCCTCCATTACAGCAGACAAAGCCCTAGCCCATCCTGCCATCATCATGAACAAGACTGCAGATACTTGAGCTCCTCTACTTCAACTAAAGACTCATGCCGACGCAGAAGGAGCCAGAGGAGAACCATGTCCTTCATACACGGCACGCTAAAGGTCATGGCTCGAAGGCGCCAATAGAACCACATCGTTTGAGGTTCCCAAACCTGACAGCTTCCTCTTCACTATGTACTTTAAGATGCTGTCCATGAACACTGCGGTCACCCAGCAACAGGAGAAAAATATCATTTTAGTAAACTGCTAATATCAGAATTAAGGTTATACAAAAACTCTAAAAAAAAACCTGACATGTTGAAGATAAATTGAAGACAGAAGACTGAAGGTCTTGGAGGCTTATTGTACTATGAAAAGTAAGATCTTGCAACCACTAAGAGGTGATGATGCTGAAAACGCTCTGCAGATGCTCTTTTAGTCTAAAACTTAAAGTGTCATTAAAAAACAAAAATATATCATGATGCACAAAAAAAAAATCTGTAACCTGAAAGATCATAAGACTGTAGGCACTGATTTTAAAAGCTGTAAACCATAGTGCATGAATTTTGTCGTCATTGTGCAGATTGTTACACACCTTGTGTCTGACCTCTGAGAGGGCAGCGTTGTTCTCCAAGTTTCTCCTCTCGTGGATGTCAGCCTCCTGCTGGGCGTCTCGGAGCTGCTGCTCCGTCCTCCTCAGTCTGTCTGGCAGCGTCTCCAGCTCTCCGAGTCGGCCCAGCAGCTCCCGACGCACCTGCTCCTTCTCTCTCTCCAGCATCTCCTTCACCTTCAGCGTCTCCTTCTGGGTCGTCTCCAGCTTCAAGCAGCACTCCTCTGCTTCCAAACGAGCCTGCTGAACCTGCAGAGGCACATTAATGATGCTACATCACAGTAGACGTTCAAACTTTTCTATAATGGTTAGTTTTTCTGTCAAACCAAGAAATTTAGACCCAAAAAATACCCCATCGTCCAACAGAGGAGCGATATTTGTGTATGGTTTGAATTTATATTTTTATTTGTACCTTCTTCTTGTATTTCTCCACCAGGTTTTCATACTTTTTGATCGATGATTTCAGTTGACGAGCTTCAGAGTGAAGTGCTCTGAATTTCTCCTCCGATGATATTAACTCGCTCTAAACATCGACAACAAAGCATATTTTCTAATATCAAAATGGCAAAATAATTTATAATAAAATGTTTAGGAAGCAGCACAATGTGAGACTGTTCCAATTTGTAGAAAATGATGTGGGAGTTTTTAAATCAGATTTTTTCTTTTTTTAACCTTGAGTCTTTGGTTTTCCAGCTTTGTGGCGGCGTTCTCGGCGCTGAGATGATGCAGCTGATTTCTGAGCTCCTCCCTCTGCGTCCGACTCTTCTCCTCCGCTGAATGAAGCTTAGAGTTCAGCTCAGCGATCTTCCTGTAACAAAAATATCTGTTAGACCCTTATTGACCCAAATTACTTTCTAAATTTACTAATATAAAGGTTTTGGTTTTCTTGAATGGTTGTCTTGTTTTGGAAAGGAAAAGAGGAATACATGCCACCACCTAGCACAAAGACCTTTTGTGATTTTGTTTCTAGGCTATAATTTGGAGACGACTCTCAGTTACTACCATTCCAAATTTTAGCTCAATATTTTGAAAATTATCTGAGTTATTGGCATTTTTTGTGTGTGTATTTTCTAATGTTATTTAGCTGTAAAGATCTCATCCAGGGATTCCTGTCTTTTACACAGACGATCCCTTCAAACATTAAACTCCAAGATGATTAAAGGTGAATCTGTGATTTTATCATTTTTGTAGCAGCTCCAACTTTTAAATGACACATTTAATGCAACATTTACTGTAAGTGTTCAGTCAACAACTTACATAAGCAATTTGTACATTTTTAATGCGCTTACAATATGAACCTTTATGCATTATCAGAAAATTATCTAAAACAGACAATCTCCATCTCTGGAGTTGCACTTCAGCCAGTGGCGGCTGCTCAATAGAGGGCGCTAGGGTGCCGCCTCACTACTCACACCACTCACCATGTTACATTGAAGACTTTAAAAATTTTTTATAAAAATTAAATAATAAAATTTAAAAAATTGAAATATATGTATTTGTATTTTTTGTTGTGTAAGATAAATATTTTATAATTAATGATGCGTTAAGTTGTTTCTTTCAAAAATGTTGTCTGATTGGTGATGTTTTTTCCACCTGGAGGGCACAAGAATCTTAGCCCACAGGCTCTCGTTAAAAGTTATACATGTGCAGTTAGCTCCTCTTAGTTACAAGAGATGGGAAGATTCTGGGCGCACCACTCCAGCGCCCTGAGTACCGGTGCACTGTACGGATCAAGCTTCCGGTCCCGCCGTCCCGGTACAGATTTATTTATTTTTTGTCCTGGAACAAATCATGCAGTGACACTCACAACCAGGCTATGTATGAATATGTATGAAATATTATTTAGCTGTCAGACAGCAGCGCATTTAAAAGAGCCGCAGCATTAATTTTGATCAGGCAGATAGTCGGGAGAACCGTTGCATTCGGCACTGGGTTTATTGATGCCCGCCGGGGTCCTGTGTAGAAAGGAGAGGACTGGAGCGGACCACCGCCTCAAGCGATGTGGAAAATTCTAACGACGGTCGTCATTAATGTGTATTTACTGTGTTTACACAGATAAGGAATGAGTTAGTAAAGTGCGCGGACGTGAGCACGAGTGAGTGAACCGATGAGTCTGTGATGCGTGCGTGTGGAATGTCTTGAACATATATATTTTTGTATATGTCTATTTTGGAGTTATAGACCCTCCCGGTGGAAATTCCACCAGCCGCTACTGATTTCAGCTGTCGCAGATTAACAGAAAATTAAAAACTATGAAATGTAAACTAAAAAGTATGTTTCATATAGTTGGAATATAAATAAATATTGTTTAAAAAGCACAAAAATAAATAAATGCAGAGTTTGACAGCGGCTCCTTATCTTTTTGTTTGTTTCTTAACAACAAATAGAAGTAAAAGTTTGTTTTCTCACAGTTTGAGAGCGCAGATCTCCTCCTCCAGATGCCCTTTAACAGCTGCTTCTTTAGTGTGGCGGAGACACCAGTCGCTGGAGGTGGACAGAGCTTGAGACAGCTGGGACTGCTTTAAAACAAAATAAAAATTATACACGTGTTACAACTGTAAAAAAAAACACAGAGATTTGTTGACCACAGTAAGGAACCAGCACTTTATTCTAAAAACACATTCTGCTCAATATTTTAATATTTTGAACATCTTCAACATCTTTGCTTCTATTCAAGCTTCAGCAGAAATTGTAAAAATTACAAAAGAAACCCTTAAAAAAAGAAACTTAAAACCATCCAAGACCAAAGAGGGTCACAGATGATCCACGATTTTGTTTAATTTGCTTTAAAGAAGACATTCTGGTGAGAAGAGGTCTAACGTCAAGAGTCTCTGAGGTCTGACCTTCTCCTGGAGTTTCTCCGAGAGCTGCCTGGAGGATTCCTCGGCCCGTTCGGCTCGCTGCGTGAGCAGAACCAGCACCTGCTGCTCCTCTTTCTGCTCCTCGTCCTCCTTCTGCTGCCTCAGAGCCCGCAGCTCCTCCTGCATCTGATCGTGACTCCGCTGCATCCTCTACCGCAGATACGAGGAGAAGGAGAGAGGCTTCATTCGTTACGTTACCGCCACAGAGTGAGGGACGGATCCCGTGGGTGTTCTGAACCTGGATCTGAGCAGCCAGACGGGCCTTTTCAGCGTCCGCTCGGGTCAGCTGCGACTCCAGGTGGCTGCGGGTCGACTCCAGGATTCTTGAAAGCTCTTCTGTCGTCTTCATGGCGTCCTGCCACAAAACAACAACACAGGAAGCGTGAAGCGTCCTTTGTGCATGGAGTGTGTCACAGAGTTATAAAAACTAAAAGTTTAGCAAACAAATGAGACTCGAGTATTAATGAACTACAAACTTTTTCAAAGTCCAGGTGCTCAGCGAGCTTGGAGGCTTCTTTCTCTTTGTTGGTGAGTTTGGTAAAAAGTCTCTGAGGGAGAAGATGAAAGAACGTGACGATGACGAGGAACAAGGTGCAACAAGTCGACTAGAGAATTATACTTTCGGTAAAAACGGTGTTCAGTTTGCTGGAATGACTGAAATGTGTGAAAGAATGCACGTTAAAGTTAAAATAAGCAGAACAAAGCTAATATCAGCAAAATGGCAGCTAAAGGCTAAATTTAGCAAAACAACCACAGATAAAAGTTAAATGTGGCAAAACCAAGGATAAATAACAAATTTAGCAAAGCTATAATTAGCTATTTAAATTTTCAATTCAGTTGCTAAAAACTAAAATGAGCAAAGCTGTAGTTAAAAGCTAAAATAAAAATATCTAAAATTTACAATTTATAAAATGGTAGCTAAAAACTCAAATTTGAAAACAATGCCTTAAAATTAAAAGCAGCAAAATTGTAGCTAAAACTTTGAAAAAGCAAAAGGCTAAAAAAAATAAAATAAAAAGCACAGTAGCTAAAATAGCAAAACAGTAGCTAAAATACTAAAAACAGGAAAAACACTGCAAAATGCTAAAATTAACAAACCTGTAGCTAAAAGTTAAAATGACATGGATAACAGCTAAATGTGGCAAAACCAAGGCTGAATAAGAAAATTAGCCGTAGTTAAAATCAACAGTTCCTTAAAGATAAAATGAGCTCAAAGGTAAATTAATGCGAGACTAACGCGCTACAGGAGAACAACGGAGCGAATGCTGAATCAGCATTATCCACAGTTACTTACGATGTTTTCTGCTTCACTGTCAGCCAGCCTCTTCTTCAGGACATCTTTCTCTGCTGACCACACCAACGATTCTCTCTGTGGACACAACAACGGTCACAAGTGCAATAATCCACGATGACTTCCACTCCGATTGATTTCTCTACGGCGTCTTGTACCTCGTACTCGCTCCACTCTCTGAGGCGGTCTCGCAGGCTGTGGTTCGTGTTGTCAAACATCACGATTTTTTCCAGCAACGACTCCTGCTGCCGTCTCAGTGAGGCTGAATGCAGTTTCGACAGACGTTTTTCCTGGAAGTTAAATACAGCGAGTCTGCTTTTAATCTGTGCCCTCCTGATGGACGCTGAGAAGACCGTTCAGAACCAAACGTACCTTGGCAAGGCCGTCAACGGTTTCCTTCAGAGCCGTCAGCTGATTGGCTACAGCAACACCGTCGATTTCTGCTTCTACGAGAGCCCTCAGGAGCACGTCCGTATCTCTGTGTTGACCGCCAGAGTCCGACCTGTTAAGAACAGAAACATGGAAATAACAAAAACTTTAATATATTTTTACTGACATTACATAGGATGTTTGCTAGGATGACAAATAATATCTAAACAAAAAGTTATTCTCTTCTAAGTATAACAAAAAAGATGAGTGTAAAGGCTGGGTAATGTACTCATTATTAGCTCCATTTTACAACCAAATATGTCACTTCTGGTTGCAGACGCTGCCTCTGGTTTGCACAGTTTGGATCCATGTTTGCATTCTTAAAATGCTGGTTTTACTGTTTTATGATTTTAACAGTTCATTACTTTTACAGTTTCAGTTGATTTCATAGTTTTTATGATTGCTTCTATGTGTTAGTGTACAGCACTTTGGCCAACAGTGTTGTTTTGAAGTGCATTATAAATAAAGTTGTATTTTTGCACAGTTTTATTTACATCAGTTTCAATCTGGTGGATTTTTGTCTGTGGGTTAACAAAGTGCATCCATCCTGCTCTGCTCATGTTCTACAAAAATAACTCAGAACAACCCAGATCACAGTTTGACTTTTAATTTGGGGTTAACTCAATGGGATTAACAATCGCCTGCAGTACGTGCGATTTGTACATGGACTTGTTTGTTTGTACCGTTAGCAAAGTTTTTCATAAACTGCTGGCATGGTGGTAGCCGAGACTAATCCCTAACTCATCCGAGGGCCAACTGATTGTACGAGACCTGTTTTTAAAACCTTTAACTATTTCAATTCCGTTGGATTAATTTTAGCAAAAATCTCAGGAAAGAACCATTGGACAATTAACGTTCAAAGTAAAAAAAAAGAATTTAAAATGGCTACCACAACCAACTGATCTTAGTCGACACCACAACGGCTACAACTCACCCAGTTGTGTACATACTGAGCAAATATTTGTTGTGGTAGTAGCAGACAGCCGTCCACAACACATACTTCAAGCGCTAACGTCACATGCAAGATCCCGCAGTATTGTTATTTTCAAGGCTTGATCAAAACATCTCCAACTCCATCCCTTTTTAAGTTTAAAAGTCCGCCTTTAAAAACAGAGGCAGCAGACAGTTACGCAGCCTAAATGAGGAGAGGATGCTCTGAACTTATTACAGCTGTTTGACAGATTCTTACTTCTTTGAAGAACGAAGGTTCTCTTGTTCCCTGAGCAGGACGCAGAGGTTTTTAGATGCTCCAGCCAGCTCTTCGTCCAGCTCCCCTGCTTCACGCTGATGCCGGCTCCCACCGTCTAGTTGATGCTGCATTCTGTTCATCTGATGGAACAACACGACAGAAGAAAAGTTTAAGGAACATCCACAAATATGAACAAATTGGACTGAGAGAAACTGCAGTCTGAAATTTAACTTGCATATCAACACAACAGCATCTGCTGTTTCATGTCTTATTAACATGTTATTTGTTTAATATCATTTGAACAAATTAAAACATGCAAACCAGCAATGCTGGTGTAAAAAGGTTTAGTTTCTCGCTCTTCTTGAGCGTTATTTGCAGTATTTTTGTTCCAACGTTTAAAACTTTTCTGTGCACTTAAGCGAGCCAAACTCTGCCAGGATAATCTCCCCTTCCCTCAGTAATATGAACATAAAGCATGACAGTGAAGAAAAAACACTATGAAGTGACCTGAGACTTGTGGGAGTCCTGGCCTCTTCTGCAAGAAGAGATTCCTGGAGGAATCCAAGGGATCCGGGACTTCGGCCTCCCTCCATCGACTTTCACCTGTGCATCTTGCGCCTGATTTAAACAAAATAACAAGTTTAAGGCTCGCTGTGCTTCTGATCTCAATAGTGATGGTTTAAATCTGGCAAAGGAACCCTAAAAGAGGAAAAGCACGTTATTCACATTAAGAGCTGTTTTATTGACTTCTGTTTACATTTAAACCCTTCACAGGTTGGTAATGATCCTATGGTTATAAAAACCTTTGGCGTTAACCTGTGAAGCTCTGCTGGGGCTCCTTCTCATGTGAACATGGACCGGTGTTGTCTCCGTTACATGGACGTGAACTGGAGGTGGTGAATCTCGGGTTTTCATTCTTCTAGGACGTTACGATCACATCTAAACCACGACCCAAGTAAAGAAAACTCGAAGCAAAGTGAATTCCGCTAAGTTTTAGGTCATGTTGACCGTGTCAAATGTGTAAATCCAGACTAATCTCGACATTTGTCAATGGAACCGAACTGTTGTTAGGTTCGACAAAACAGCGTCATCCGATTGGCTAGTCTGCAAGATCCCTCTTTGTGATTGGTGGATGAGTTTTAAGTTGGCGTTGCCCGGGGTGACAGGAAATGTTGCGTTCAAGAAATAAAAAGAAATCTGAAATCTTTATTACGTGTTTTTTTTTTTTTAATTATCAAACATTTTAGCTGTGCTGAAAAAGATGAATACGCTTAAAAATAAAGTAAGTCAAATGAGCAAAATTACTGTATTCATTTTACTATAAATGTATTGTGAAAATATGCATTTCCTTATTTCACAAATCGCACTAACGGTTTTACAAAAATAATTAATTGGTCGTGATCATTTTTAAGAGAGGAACTTGAATGTAGCACAAAATGAACGTTAAGTTTTTTTTTCCCCCACAGGGTCCAATAACACTTCTTTAGGTCTTGTACAGCTTAATACACTTTTTCAGCCAAATAATGTATATTTTAACCAAATTTTATTTTTAAATTTGATCTTATTTGATTTTTGATTTGAAATTGAAATTTGATTTGATCTCCAATACACAAGAAATGAGCAACTGATCTGAAACAAAGCAATGATTCTTGCCCCTTTTCAATTTGCGGACTACTCGTTGACGAGAATACACAAAAATGGAAATATATTTAGACGTTAAAAAAAAACGGAAGTAGACATGAATAAATCTAGACAATGCTTTAAAAAAAACACTAACTGAGCATGCGCATTAGTAAAGCCTTTACGGAAACTAATGCTAACGTTAGCTAGCCGTTTTTGCAGTTCACTAATCACAAGTTACGTTTACATTAAAAGCCAGCATCTATTACAACACCTAAAAGATCAATCTGGTATCTAAATCATCATATTGAAATGTTTCGATGATTTACGCTGAAAACGACGATAAGTCGAAGCTAACTGGCTAATGATTAGCGTCTCGCGTGCGCCGAGGGGCAGCAATGAAGCGCGTGGCGAGTCTTCGGACGTGCGAGCAGCTGCTGAGGTTAATGTTGCCATTTATTTTGTTTAACCGCGCTGCAGAGGCGTGCGCTGCCAACGCATCGCAGCACGGGGCTAGCACAGACACTTTGATACTATGTAGGGCGTGCGGACACGAGTTGGCCTTCGGGACGGACATTATCTTTGTTCCCAGCCCGCTTGCACTTTCTAGCCGCAACGACACGTCAGTCAGCGGGCGACGGATCCACGTCCAGCTCCTCGAAAACCCCCACGGACACCAGTTTGAGGTGATCACGTTCAGAAGCGCAGATGTAACCAAGCACTGGCCGGCAGACGGAGGCTTCTCCTGGTTCCCGGGGTTCTCCTGGACCATAGCTACCTGCCCCAGGTGTAGAACTCATTTAGGTGGGTAGAATTATAAACACGCGTTTACCTGGTTAGGTAAGATACCTGAAAACCATTTACAAATTTAAGCAGTTTTGTGCCATTAACATGTAAATATATAAAGTAATGCTTCATTTACTATAAACTTAATCTTTAAGTAAATCTCAATTATTGCACAATACTTCATCTGAATGGGTGAATGTCTTGGATTAATTTAGTATTTGCATTTCAAACTGCTTTTTGGTCACTTGTCTACAGGTTGGGCCTTCCAGCCAAGTGACTGGCCAGACACAATCACAAAAACCAGATTTGAAGAGTCTGGGAACACTTTTGTGACTTTAATCACTCATCGACTTCTGAGAGAAGACTTCGCATCGAGCCTACTAATGACTCCAAAGTCATTTAAAAGCTAAAAGGACTCGGGCGCTTTTACTGCTGCCCAGAAACGTTTTCAAATAAAATTGTATGCAGTCAATTTGAGGACCCACTTCTATACAGTTTTATTGTAACAAACCAGGTTATGCACTTTGTTGTAATTGCAATTCTTTTGAAATTACACTCATCTTTTATACCTGTAAAACATTTGGGGCCAAAATGTACAAGAATTTTTTTTTTTAATTCTTTATTAAAAATGTCATTTCAAATCTTGTGGATATTTGTAAAACAATACAATGAAGAAAAAAAAAAAAGTCCCATAGAAACGGTGTCAAAATTACCACGCTTCAATAACCAACCAACTCCCCCCCCCCCCCCCCCCCCAAACAATACATGTCAAAGGAATGAGCTGGTGCTCCTTAATAACAGGGAAAAATAAAATACGGGCATTATGTCCCACTTAAAAAATTGAAAGGTCTCCTAGCGCTAGGTCACTACACCGTGGCTTCAGCTGATTTACCACACAAACTTGAGAAATTCTGTGTGACTCGTCCTCAAATTCTACTCAGGATGCAGTGCTGATTCTATTTTTTTTAAGTTTTTATTATTTTAATATGTCTTCGGGGATGGTACTCACAATTCAGGGCAAAGTGCCATTGGCCTTGGATGAGTCAAAGGAGAACATAAACATGGCATCAGCAGGTGAAGAAGAGGCTTCAGAATGGAACGTGAAGCACAAACGAGTATAAGTAAAAAAAAAAAAAAAAAAAAATTAAAACCCTTGCTCCCGAACATGAGTGGAAAAATAAAACGGGCAATTGAGGGTCTTGTAGGTGATATCTTAGTCGTCTTCTCCTTCGTCATCCTGAAACAAGGTATTAGAGGTCAAACGTTAAGAACTACTTTCAAGAAGCGTTCAAGTTTTTTAAAAGTTTACCTCTCCATCTTCTCCTTCATCTTCTTCGTCGTCCTCCCCATCTTCATCTCCTTCCTCGTCAATATCCTCCAGACCCTCCTCATCATCTTCGTCCTCATCACCTTCAGCCTCTTCATCCTCCATGTCAGGAACCTGGGGGATAAGAAGCTTTAGCACCTTCGACCCAAAAGCCAGACCCCTTTTTATTAAGCCAACAGCCACGGAAAAGGTCGACGCCACAAACTTCCAACTGCTGATTAAAGTTTGGGGATAAACGTACCAAGTAGTACTGCAGGGGGTTTGGCCAGATGTCATCCTTGATGACCTCGCCAAGCTCATCAGCTCCGGCATCGGCATGATCAGTGAACCAAGTGAAGAAGCTCTCTGGTTCTTCATGTTGCCTCTTCCTTCCAGCTTTATTCTGCGTCTGGCTTGAGCGCTTGGTCAAGTCCTGTTAGGATGAAGAGGAACCAATTTGTTTAGAGAGCCCATCCATCCACGCAGATTTGCTCGTGAGAACAAGATGCCAACACTTACCTTTCCTGACTTCCATTTGATTTCTGTTGACTTTGAAGACGGGTCTCCACTCTCGTTCAGATGAAACTCTTTGGAAAGTACTTTGTTTTCAAAGTATGGGTTTTCATCAAAATACTAAGGAGGAAAAAAAAAATTAGGGAAAGGACACATAACCTTTGCTTTCACAAGAGAGAATACAACACTTACAAAATCTATTCTGTAGCCCGACTTGATGTCTTCAAACTCTGTCACCTCCACCCGGCTCAGGTAATGAAGCGCTTCTTCATCTTCCTCTCCCAGTAGAGCAGATACTGCAGGGATACATGTTACAAGAATCAAATAATGCCTTTGTTTAAATAAATTATTATTATTTTTTTAAGTTTGAAAACTTGGTGATGAATCGCTCACCCTGTGGATGGTTGACAAATGTGGTGACCCAGAAGTTTGGGATTTTGGCGATCAGTTCTGACCTCTTCTGAAAGAACGGCTGACGGAGTTTGTTGTATTTCTGTTCTACTTTCAGGATCTCCTCACTGGCTTGCTCATTCAACCTACAAAAATACAAAAAAAAAAAAAAAAAGATAAAATTCAAATGGGCTCTCGCAGAACAGATACAACACAGTTAAGGGAAAAGACTGAGAAAACTTGTATTTAAAGCTTTGATTATTCCGTTTATTTTAACACAAAAAAATAATTTACACCAAGCAAAGTGTTTAAAAATTATTCACAAAACATCACTTTATTACTTATGTTCAGTATTTGCAATTTATAAAAAAACAAAATCAACCTTTGAAATACTTTGGAACAAACTTTAATATAAAACACACTGCACAAAAATAACCTTCCTCACCTGTCAATTTCATTTTGAACTTCATCGATGTGTTCAATGGCTTCTTGCTGCTCTTTCTCTGAAGGGGGGAAACAATTTTAAATGGTCAAACGAAATTAACGTGAAAGCATCAGTTAAACTGGTATAAAAGATTATTACATATGGAAGCTTTTCTCATTTTATTCAGCCTCAGCAGGATATTAGTAAGCTCGCAACTTGTGTTCAGAACGCTGCTAATGTGTATGCAGAACTGCCAGCCACGGTTTCTTAGGTTTTATTGTCCAGACGACTCCGGATTCCCTCAGAGGACGATCGGCCAATGGCTGCAGCGCCCGCCGTTCATACATCCAGTTTCCTGCCGGCTGCTGCCTGCAGGGCCGCGTGGTTTAAATGTGGGGCAGAACCTGCACAGCCGGGGCAAACATGACTTACAGCTAAACCGCTGCTCCCAAGTTGGGGCGTCCTAAGTTTAGCCCACAAAAACGCTGCCGCCGGGGTTTAACGAGCGGCAGGGCTCGTGGATTTTGAGAAAACGTAACGTCAGCTAGCGTTAGGTAACAACAACAACAGCAGCATCAGGCTAACGCGGCTAACACATGACACGCAACCCCGATTATTAAACACTAAAAAAAAAAAAATACCACGAGCGGCGCTGGTTCAGGTGGTCTAAAGTTGACGTGAAACAAAATAAAACGATATTTTTTCCTCTTAAATTGCCCGCTCGGTATCCATCGACCTAACTGGCCACGCTGATGATGATGCTAAGTAGCTAGCATGGCCTCGCGCAGCTTTAAACAACAGAAGAGCCGCGACACGCTGCAACAGCCGAGATGAAAATACAAACAAGTCGTTGATACGAACAGCGAAAAATAAGCCCCGCACACCAAAAGCAACGCGCCGTATTCAAAAACTACAAATTGCGCTGAATTTAGCGGTTGCACGAGTAGTATTATTGAAGAAAGTGAAAATGGCGCTGAATACGAGGCCGCCATTCCCCTTACCGGAGGTCTCGTCCGCTCCGTCATGGTTTGAGTTCAGCTCCTTTTTACTCGCTTTCGCTGCCGAGGCAGACATTTTTCTTCCCGCAAGTTGAAGGTGACTCAAAAAAAAAAATAATGAACGTCCGAAAAAAGAATAGCTGGCGGCTTCGAATCTCCTTGGACAGGAGAGCGTTAAATTCGCTGCGAAGTTCAGCGTGGAGGAGCCGACAACGTGCTGCGTCCCACACAATGTAGCTGCTGAAGAGCGAGGAAGTCAGCGCGCGCTGCTTTCATTACGAACGCGCCGCGCCGAATGGAGCACCGAGCAGCTCCGCCTCTCAAAATAGGTCTCACTACGAGGCTGCAATCTGCTGATTTACTCCTCTATCCTCCACTTAAATCACATTCTAATTGAAAAAAAAAAACACAATTACATCATTCTCACACATAAAGACTTAAACTACTTTTATTTATAAAAAAAACACCTTTTGTTGAGGCAGATCCAAATCTGTAGGACCGACTCGCACTTGCGCACTTAGAAAAAAAACAAGAAAAGATGAACGTTCGGATGGACGGTCAGCGCTAATTAACACGTATTTACTAAGAACATCACGTTTTAATTAGAGCTTTTATTTGTTATTATCAGGATTGTAGCTATTATCCGTGTCACGCTTTCGAAGCGTTTGAAAATAAAGTCGTGTCTATAATTAAAGGTTGCACTTTTTCAGTTGAGATGTTTGGCCAATTTGCACTAACTTTACCGCGGTCTCGTCTTCTTTCAGATAAGTATAAGTACACACCCAACATGCATTTTCACCATCCCTGTGGCCTATTACACGTAGTTCTGAGGAAATGGTCACGTGTTACCTTTTCTGAATATTTGCTCATTCCAACAAGTAATCAGCAAAGTGAACATAAACATCATGAAGTAAACTATAATTGTGTAAGTGCTGAGTGCATTGCTCACATTTATTGAAGAAGCTTAAACTCAGTTGTTACAACTAAAAGAAGCATGTCAGCTAAATGTAGTAAAATGCTAGCTAAAAGCTATAAGTTGCAAATTCATTCAACCTTTATTTCTACAGGTAAATCCCATTGAGCCTCGAGGACTCATTTACAAGAGAGACCTGATTTCAACAAAGAAAGTTGACAACAATGAACAACAGCGACAACAATAAACAGTTATAAAAAGTCATACAATTATTATTATTATTATTTTACAAATAGGATGGCTAAAAAAAGAAAAGTAACAAAAAACAGCTAGATTCTAAGACGAATGTAGAAAACTAAAAACAGGAACATGTCTACGTTGGTCCCTGCCAGGAGTCCAACAGATTCTTAAAGACACTTAGAGAGGTCAAGGTCGAGAGCTTCAGATCTTTTTGTAAGGAAACAGGAGCGGAGTAGGAGAAGGCCCTTTTGCCTAGTTCAGTCCTCATTGAGGGAACACTGCAGGTAATAATGTCCTGAGAGCGCACGCTGTAGCTGCACTCACGCAGAGACATGTAGGAGGAGATGTATGAAGGCAGCAGACCAAGAAGTGATTTAAAGATGAAAATGTACCAGTGAGAGAGTCTGCGTGAAGTAATGTCCAGTTAACCAGTGAATACAGGGTGCAGTGGTGGGTACGATAATCACAGCCAGTTATGAATCTTAGTGCACCGTGATAGACAGCATCCAACATCTGCAGGGTTCTTGTAGGAGCGTTCATGTAAATAATATCACCATAATCAATTGAGGGAAGGAAAGTCACAGATACAAGGCGTTTCCTAGCATTCAGGGTTAGACAGGATCTGTTTCTGAAAAATAAACCCACTTTAACTTTCAGTTTCTTTACCAAGTTTTCCACATGGAGCTTAAAAGAGAGATGCGAGTCGACCAAGATACCCAAATATTTATAGGAATCAACAAACTCAATGGGGACACCATTTGAGGATGAAATCAGAGGAAGAACTGCTGGGACCAACTTCCTATTTGAAAAAAGCATCCCTTTGGTTTTGTCGGCATTTAGGACAAGTTTGAGGCGGAACAAATCAGTCTGGATGATGTTGAATGCAGATTGCAAAAGCTGGAAAGCCTTAGCAACAGTTTTAGCTCAACAATAAACAACTGTGTCATCAGCATAGACATGTAAGGATGCATCAGGGATGTTTTTACCAACATTACGTATGTAGATTGTAAAGAGGGTGGGTCCTAAGACTGAGCCTTGTGGTACACCATTGTTGACTGTTAAATAACTGGAGGAAGTACCATTATGTTGAACACATTGCCTCCAGTCTGAAAGATAGTTAGAGAACCAACCAATGGTGTGATCTGAGAAACCAATTTCTGAGAGCTTATGACACATGTTTGCTAAAGCTAATTGCAACAGATATCTAGCAAAAAACTAAAAGCACAAAAAGGTTAAGTAAAAGTAGCAAACAAATAGCTATTTGTATCAAAATATTAGCTAAAATTAGCAAAAGTTTAGGTAAATTTAGCAAAAGGCTAGCTAAAAGTGGCAGAATGCCAGCTAAAAATGGTTAAAAAAAGCTAGCTTAAAGTAGCAAAACCATAGCTAAATCAACAACACTTCCTTAAGCTAGCAAATGCCATCTAAAACTGAATGTTTAAGGCAATGCAAAAGGCTAGCTAAAAAGTAAAAACACCAAAAACGTAACTAAAAGCTACAACAGTTATAAAAAATAGCTACCGGTAGTTGTTTTTAAAGTTTAAATAAAACTGGCTAAATGTAGCAGACCACTAGCTAAAAAATAACAAATGCCAGCTAAATAATTTTTTGCCAGCTAAAACCTGTTTGTAGCAAAAACCTAGCTAAAAACTAAAGAAAAGACCCAAAAGCTAAAATTAACAAAAGGGTAGGTAAATTCAACAAAAGGCTAGCTAAAAGTAGTAAAATGCTAGCTGAAAGTAGCAAAGCCATAGCTATATCAAATCTAAATCACAAGTAAAACACTTCCTAAAAGTTGCAAATGGCAGGAGGTGGAACACCTGGAGAGCTGGTGCAAAGAGAATGACCTTCACATCATTGTGAAGAAGGCAAAGGAGATGATCATGAACTTCAGAAGGAACAAACACACCTACACCCCCTGAACGTAAGAGGATCTGCAGTGGTCTTCAGCTACAAGAACTTGGGTGTACACCTGAATGACAACCTCAACTGGGGCAACAACGCTCATCAGATACTCTACTTCCTCAGGCGGCTGAGACGAGCTGGTCTGGGAAGCTCAGTCCTCACCTCCTTCTACAGGTGTGCAGTGGAGAGCATCC